TACAAATTCTTCTATATTAGAAAGCAACAAATATGTATCTTTAAGGCTTCGAAACTTTTGTGAAAAAGATACGCCTCAGTCAGTCGTGTGAGCAACTTAAAGTACTAAAGTTGCCTTTGGTAACAAAAATTTATAAATAAAATTTTAATGTTTGTGAGTGCAAAGTATCAGAAAATTAAAGTGAGACGACTTCCTTTGAGAAAATGCTAACTTTCCTGATATATAAGTATTAACAAATGTGCATATATACACTCGTATTAATGAAAGTAATAAAAATATTAAGTTTTCTTTAGATGAAATAATTTATATGTTAAAATATATTTTTTTTCAAAACCAAAAAATTGTTTTTCTGATATAAAAAAGTTTTTCCATTTTTTCCATTTTATATTATTTATATTATATATGGTTTCATTAGAATAGTCTCATGAGTATCTTCTATATGTTACACATATTTTACATAATTTATTCAATACTTCCGACACCAAAAATGTGAAAATTGAGTCCAATATTAATATCTTCATTTGGCATTATTGCAAATTTGTAGAATAAAACATTTTATTTTTTTATTACATAAACTTTTTACCGTTTTCCATATCTGACTTCATTACTTTACAGTTGTTATTATGTAGGGAATATATATATTATGCACTGCCACTCAAGTGACTCATTGTTCTCACCCTAGGTGTCTTAACCGATCCGTAAACTTTTAATAAGCACCTTGAGTGGTTTTGTCATCTTACTACTTCAGTAAAAGGTTTAAGGTATTTCTTACACATTTATATATAAGAAAATAATATTTTTTAATAAATCCGTAATTCTAATATGTAAAGTTTAAAAAAAAATACATAACATAATCCTTATTAAATACTTATTAGTTTAATTTAATATATTTGCAATATTGGTTGACTTTTTTTCGGACTGACTTGCAAACAAAAAATATGGTACCGACAGGAATCAATGATAACCCCCAATGAATAAATCAAGTTCCGAACAAAAACATGTTTTTGTTTAATATAATTATTAGGTCAATAAACATTTTCTAAAAAAAGTCACTAAAACAATCTGAAAACCTAAATTTAAGAGAGTAATTAATCAATATTCTCATGGGTGAAACTTAATATTAATGTTAAATTAATATAATTAAATATTAATATTTTTAGTTACATGCAGTTGACTTGTTTAATATATGTTGTGATTATATCTTTAAGAGATTACAATTTATCGACATCATCAGATATTAGCATCATTTTTCTTCTTAAAATTTATCCGCGGTCCCATTTCGGCAGCGATTGCTTTCAAAGCTTCCAGTTTACTGTAAACGTTGCGACAATTATGTCCTGAAGATAGTTAAGTCAACTAATTTTTCTAAAGAAATCCCCTGAACTCTGTGTGCACATTCACTAGTAGTCTTTCTGAGTACTACCATATAATACTATAGTAGTCTTTCTGAGCCCAGTACTATAATGAATATTAGAGGTGATAGTATACAACCTTGTGTGACCTCTAGATTTTCTTTTAACTTCTTCCTATTTTTGTTTTTAAAGCGAACCATATAGCCAACATTTTTATATATTTTTTCAATAAGTTCGATAGTTTTTAACTGCATTTTACAACTTGAAAATCATCTTTACGAAAATCTTCTTTTTAAAGTCTCTTTCAAATTCGGAGGACAACGAGAATAATGGAATTTGCTATTCCTTTGACTATTCAATTTTGCCGCATAAAGTTTGTGATCGACAAATAAGCGATCAGCTCGAAGCATTTTGCTTTCTTTTTAACTGATCGTTCAAATCAGGTGTATTTTAAATAGGATTTAATAACATAATGATACGTCATTTACTGCAGTGGCTTGAATTCTTTTTCTTAGATACTGGAATTATCACACAATCTTTTCAACTTACTATAGTATTATTATTCCGCCAGACATTGCGTAGAACAGAAATATTGATTTTTGTTGTATAAGAATTTATAAACTCTTTTTTATAGAGTTTATATTTATATTATAAATTTATATTTATAATATATATAAACAAATTGTAATAAAAAATTTTTAAATTTAGTTATTTTTATTTTTCAGAATTTAGTATTTATAAACAATTTGTAATAAAATATATATAAATTTATATGTTTTTATATTTCAGAGTACGTGTGGAATATTATGTCAATGAAAACACATTTAAAGAAAGACTGCAACTTTATTTCATTAAAAACCAGAGATCGAGTAAGTAAACAATATTTTAAAATTTCAAATATTTAGCTAAACTACCAAATATTAATTAAGAAAAATAGTTTAACTAAAAACTAAAACCAATTTTCCTTCCATTTTCCATTCACAAAGAAAAACCTCAATTTGTGCTCTTCTTCCGGCTTGATAAGCACCTAAAAACTGTGCAGTGAACTATGAATTTGTAACAAATTTGATTGCTAAATAAAGAATAAACTTTAAATGAATAAAACCAACATATGAAACTAATTTCTTTGACATTTCAATCAATCAAAAGGATATAGTTTACATTAATACGTAAACACTTTTTCTAGTTTCAAATAAAATCGTTTACATTTAATACACTTCATAGATACAAAATGACGAGTGCGAATAGAAAACCAATACATATATATATATATATTTGTATAACACATCTTTGAATAATGATTTTTCTTTCAGAAATACGATTTTATCCATTATATTAATTCTATAAGTTTTAATACATCTGTCCCAATGCGTCTCTTACTCTTACTTTTCGACTCGTTTTTGATAGAACAATTTATTTTTGGTCTGAAAACAAGTCTCAGTTTTAGCGATTACTTTTCATTTAAACCCAATATCTCTCCCTGAAGTATTATGCAAATGCCTACGAAAACCCTTTCAGATCTGAGTAGTACGGTTGTTATGCAACCAATACGTTATTGATTTAGTTTAACTATTATTTTCATCGACTTGTAACACGGGGTGCGCTGTTGGTGAAATATCTCTATTTTAACTGGAAGTTCCAGGCTTAGAACTCGTACCTGTCAAATTAGAAGCGATGACTAATTGTGCATTGAAAGTTTGTGCAGCCATAGCTACTTGTGGTAAAACACGATCAATCATCGCTTCTACTTTGACAGACACAAGTTCTAAGCCTGGCACTTGCAGTCCAAAAAAATTATATATGGACTAAGAGCTAATTAAAAAATTCGATTATTCCCTAAAACCACTGATAATGAGTACAAGGAAACATCGTTGTATGGTCAGCAAAATTTCAATAAATTAAATAAGTTTTTGTCCTTTTCTTGCTATTCTAATCCGTCTAATCTCTATTTTTTTGTGGCATGTGAGATCATTTTGTTTTGATCTCTACATTTATACCAATCATTAATGCCACAATAATCATAGTTTTGTCTTTTTCAAGATAATATCTATACTCATTTCAATCATAAATATCATGATGTTGATAATTTTATCTTTTTCTAGAAAATAATTTAAGAAATTTTAAACTTATTCCAAAATATAGATGCCAAAGCTATTGTCTACCTAGTTGACAACTTTTTTAATTTAGGTATGCATAGAGCTACTACGTCTATGTTGCATCCCTTGTAGGAGGACTTCGTACCAGCTACTCCTAAATTTGTATTTTTAAGGTGTCAGTTATATCACGCAAGTTCACTTTTGGTGTCTTCACAATTAAATCGATAAAACCACGATAAGTGAAACAAACTCGTCATTTTTAAAGCAGACAAAGATGTGAACAGTACAGTCATGTTAATATTAATAATAATTATAAAAAAATTATTAATAAATTGTAAAGTCACTGCAATAATATCTACTAGAGCAACTTCCTACAATATAATCACAAAAATAAAAACATTTTAAAAATCTGCAGTTCTGACTGCAGATCAATAGAGATTTCTAATTTGTTATGACGTTCTCGATCAGTAAATCTGGATTCAATCTAGATTTACTCTTAATATGTCAAATTTTGTTGAACAATTGAAGGTTTTTAGAGTAATTTAAATTTTTTGTAGTTGCTTAGTAGACAGTATTTCCAAACTATAATTGAGAATAGTGAAAAATTTGGAACATCATTAAATAAATTAATAATGAGTTTTTGTGTTTGTGCAATTTTATAGCACTTTTTAAAAAACATCAAATATTTTGGTATATATAATGTATTTCAGTTCATATAGAAATGTGTGAGATGATTCCTCTTATTTTAATATAACATTAGATTCATATGAAACAAGTTGAAAGTGAGTTTCATTAACTACATCATAAAAAGGATTTGCTAATAATATTCTGCTTGTTTGCATACATATATGTAAATATATATTAATATATATATATTAGTTCTTACTTAATGAATGCTACTAAATTAATTTAAATGTACTTGACAGCAAAATGTGCCCAAATACTCTTGAAAATAAAAATAATTGCTTTTATACAACTTATAGCATTTGTTTTTCAAATTTTAATTAATCTAGCTTTACTCTCAATCTGTCAAATTTTGTAGCCCAATTGAATATTTGATGGTAATCTAACATATTAGTAGCATTGTTAGTAGATATTTATATTTTTTATGAATACATATATTGAAGTCTGTTGATACTTCATTTGTCAACACATATAAAACAGCTGTTAATTTCAGGGTAATCTTGTTAATCTGGCAAAATAACTAGAGTGTTATAAATTAATCTCGAGCATTATACATTTAGCTCGATATTTATCAATCGAAAATGAAAACTGCACTAAAAGTAAATCTTGGTTAAAAAAAAGTGCTCCAGATTTACTAATCAAAAATGGTATTCATATTCTACATAAAGATACTTTTAGATTAATAATTTTTCTGATTGAAGTTTCAATTTGCTTTTCTAAAACTCAAAACAGATATACGAGTGAAATACTTATTATAACAGAAACAGATTTATGATTCCAAATGAGCTTATGTCATTTTAATAAATTTTTAATTTGCTTTAAGAGTTCAATACAAATTCACTTGCTGTGTTCTATTAGAACGGAATCATAAATCAGTTGTAAAATGAATTAATTAATTATAGTTATTTTTTAGTTCTTAAATTAAATAATAAATAATTTATTAATATTAATTTCAAGAAATAAATAATTCCAAGAGGAATAATTTTAAGACCACTAATGATGGGTATTTGGCAATATTCAAAAAATGCGTCAGCCAAAAATTCAATAAAATAAAATAACAGAAACAATCATTTTTAAGGTTGTACATAGTTCAAAACCTCTCTAAAAAGATTGTAGAATTGTATATTTTCTGAGAAAATACTTCAGAAATCTGTTGAGAAATTAAGTAATACTTTTTCAACTTTTGGTTATTATAACTGCAGTCAGATATAATTTGATTCCTGTGATTCAAGCTAAAAAATAATAAACCAATGTTTAAACTGTACTGACTTAGTTTAACTTAAAATAACTAATTTCATATTACAAGTTCTAATGAAACCAGACATTTATAACACTTAAATTGGATTATTTCTTTTAGTTAAATAGACCTTCGCCTATCACTTGTTCCATATGCAAATAGTCAATGAATATGTATTAATGCTTCCAAATTTCATCAATGGATTTGATGTTTGTTCATCATTTTTAATATAACAATTCGTTGACAATACAATAAAGTACATTTGGTACCGGTTCTCTATTTTTAGAACCAGTTTATTGTCTAATCAATTGCAACGTGCAATTTGCTTGTTGGTCTTATAATGTTTTTATCGACACGCCATCTTATCAGCAAAAATATCTATTTTTTATTATATTTTGTTGGCAGTGGGATATCTACCATTGCTTTATATTTTAAATAAAATTTCTTATTATTTTGTAATTTTTTAGTAACTGATACATTTAGTAAAGCTGCCAGTTTATGAAATGGTCCATCAAATTTGTAGTTTTTACCATCTCATTCAAAACTATTTCAATTAAAAAAAAAGTTTATGTTAACAACCACATTAAATTCACATTCATTTAATGAATTCTTATCCTATTTAAATTCATCAAATTTAGTGAAGTTGATTTAAAAGATATTCATTACAATCCAATTAGTTATTTAAGCCTTCGTCTTTGTATTTATTATTAAAAGAAAAACTTCAAAAGTGTGGAATTTTAAATCTGAAACATCTGTACTATGTTTCATAGTAATTATCAAGCATTTGTATTAGCTTTGAATCTGATTTCATTTATAACTATAAACCCATAAAGTAAACGTGCTCAAAATTCAAGATTTCGTAAGATAATCGTATTTCGCATTTAACAAAACATTGTATGAAAACCCAAAAAGTTTAAGACAGTTAAAGTTTCCCTTTTGAAAGTCTTTAATTATATATATTTTGAAAAATGTATGTGATGACTGTCATATATATAAAATGACAATTCTTAGTCACGTTTCAATAAATTACACTCAAAGGATTAAAACTTTCAATGTTAAACAAACTTTTAATATTGATGTAGTATATGTAACTTATTTAATTTTTAATTGGAAAAATTTTTTTTATCATAAGAATTGAAATGATAAAAATTTAATTAAAGCAAAGTTTATTAAAAATAAATTATTATATATAATTTTTTTTTTCTAAATGGTATACATATAAAAATCACAAAAGGATAGAACAGTACAACATATGATTATTCAATTCCTTATATATAATATAGCTTGAGCTATAAATAAAGAAATATTAGTTATTATAATATAATAATATAATATTATGAAAAAATGCAGCCCCTGAAGGCACGTATATTCTATAGGAATTATTAAAAAATTTTAAAATTTAAAAATTGTGTAATTGTGTTCTATTTTTTAGGCAAGGGTATTTTTTAGGCAAGAGTTTCAGCAAATGCTTAGCACTTGTATTAAGTCGATCCATATACGTATATTCAGATGAGACCAAATCAGATAAAATATAAGAACAGTGTATTTCCTCACAATCGTTAAAGTCAAGTTTGCTTCAAATTACCAGAGATATATAAAGTCTTCCAATACAAAATCGAAACTACCCATTGGGGTAGCTAAAAACTATAACGGAGCAATCAAATCTCGCAAATGTGTAGATATCGAGCAGGATCACAGGATCGTTAATCTCTCGATAAGCTAAACAGTTGCGTAACCAAATTTGTGCAAAAAATAGAGAGGAAGATAATATACTAGACAACTGTTATTCCAAATTTCTCTACAGTTGACTAAATTAATTATAATTAGAGATAGAGAATGGAACATTTATAAGTATATAAATATTTGAGTATATATGTAGAAAACTTTCTTGTTATGTGTATGTGTTATTTTCAAGACCTGTATTAAAATACGCTCTTTGCTTAAAAACTAAATTCCAATCTATACTTTCTTTTTTAGTATTATTTTTAATAGTTTACATTATATCTTTGATCTTCTAACTTTTATTATAAGAATTCTAAGTTACTATTAGCAGTTAAATATTGTCATGAAATTATATAGGAATGGTAGAGTTTTTCTTTTATATTTTAATTATATTTTTAATGGAGAATTTATCCTTTTCATCCCCTCTGCAAAAACCGTGAGCCAAACGACATTAATTTAATATCAGCTTCAGTTCAACACTCTTTTAGAAAACATAATAATTTTAAAGATAAAAATACCTTCATCCCTTGATGTTTTATCTGATAAGAAAGGAGTATTTAATCTTAGTTTATATGGTAGATCCAAATACTTTTATTATGGTAGATACCTTTTTTATATGTTTTATCATTCCAGAAAAGAGCTGTGAAAGTAGAGACTAATCAACAGTGAGAACATCCCTGACATATGACAGAGCATCTCTGACCAAACAAATCACAGAAGCTCCTTTAAATTTAACAAGAACTTGTCAAATTATTTGATCTCATTATTAGAAGCAATTACTTATTAAATATTTTATACAAGTGACTAAATTGGAAGCCTTTTGTAGAAACGATGGTATAACTTTTTACAATAAAAAGTATAAAAAAAATATTTAAACATTAGTATAGTAAATCTCCGTTCATCTTTTTTTGGAGGAAACAGATTTCTAATTTAAAGATATATGAAAGTCAAACTATAACAACTACTTGACTATTAAATTCTATGTGGCATACCATATAAATATCATGTTTGGCATATACTACAACACAAGATATCATAAATTCCATACAACATAAAATAAATTAGTCATGTTTAGTTATTTACGTTTATGATTTCGTTCTAATATAAATACACCAAGCAAAAGTGTTAATAAAAACTTTCATAGTAATAGTAACAAAACTCCAGAAAAATATGCGAACAAAAAAGTCAAGTACGGCTTTGGATCAGTTGGTTAAGGTGCACTGATTCTGAGCTTCACATTTGGCAGGACCCGAGTTCGATTCCTGGTACTTGCAGCTTCAAAAATAATGATTTACGAATAATTAAATACAAGAATTATTTCCAAGACCACTGATGATGGGTATTTGGCAATACTCGAAAGAGCTGTATGGTCAGCCAAAAATTCCATTAATTAAAATAATATAAAAATAAATTTTTGTTGTTGTATTTCACTACTGTTCGAAAAAACCTCTTTATAAAATAAATTATTAAATTTGATTTTAACATCAATATAACAGAAGTGACTATTTTTAGTTTAATAGAAACTGTGATTTTTAATACAGACGTTTCAAGAAATGGTGAACTACAACAACAAAAATTCTTTTTATATTATTTTAATTAAAAAAAATAAATAAATTTTTGAAATATACACTCATACTAATTCGATATTATTAACCCTACTAACAATATTTTCAACTAAATTATCTAAAAAAAAAAATATAAAAAAAAAGTATGAATCCTAATAAGAAAATATTTTTTTTAAATAGAAATGGTATATGTGGAAAAATATAATAAATTATTAAATTTAATAAAATTGAGTAATTGTACTTTCTCGAACTCACTTTGTTTAAGCCAAAAAATCACTGAATAAAGCAAATCTCTTTCTATTTGAGAAGCCATTAAATATTTATTAAATTATATTGCAATTATTTATGTAAATATTGCCAAATTAAATATTAAAATCCCAAAAAAGGTAAAGCGATTTGTTTACAAATTTGATTTAACCGCAAAAATATCTAACGAAAACGCAACATAAATCAACACAACAACAACAAAAGCATTTTAATTGAATGCCTTAACCGAACCACAAACGGATTAGTGTAGGAAAACAATTGGGGTATTCACGATTTTGATATGAAAATGTATGAAAGTAAAAATGGGTTTTGTTACTTGTGCAATGGCGTTCCTAAACCGCCGGCCCAAAACAAATAAAGCCGCTTAAGCAAACACTACCTCGGCTCATAAAGTAAATCATTATTCAATGAACAAAAAATTGCACAAAATAAAAGAAAAATAATATAATAAAAATACTAATAAAAAAGGAGAAACAATAGAATTATTTTCTAGGAATAAAAAATATTTGTATTTCACTGTTGTTTACACCCAATCTACTACGGCAGGTGTACTTGAAGTATCCGCCGCAAGGTGGCATACAACACCTTTAAGTTAATTTAAAAGTCCTGTTGAATCACTACATATTTATTATTTTTTTTTCTCTAATCTAAATTTTCTTCTTCCTTTTTTTCTTTTTGCAGGTTTACGAATACGAATTGCTGATTTGTTTCTTAAGTTACTAGCCTGTGTTCTATACATTTTACGTGTGATAACGGATACAAATCCAACATTTGCAACATGGTGAGTTGAATGGAGCTTGAATAGAAAGTTGAGGAGAAAAAAATCCTGAACAGAAATCAACAAACAAAATTGACTAATCGATTTAACTTTTCGTTCTGCTTTCTTAATTTCTTTTATTTGTTTTTTCCATTTCCTTTTTATCAAAGTTATGGCTGCTCTGTGAGCAACAAGACAGAGTTCCTCGTTTCAGCCCAACTGACGGAGGAGGAATTTCAGGAAAATCCTATTATCAATTGGGAGGCCATTCTGTGGGTAAACCGTCCCACGGTGCTGTGGGCTGTTCAATTAATTTTAGCATTAGTGTCACTAACGGAAGCAGTACTTCTTACATATCTAGGCTACAAGGTCAGTACAAAAACCAACAAAGGCCGGCTTACCAAAATGTTTTGGTATAAGCCAAAGCCGAACACATGCCACATGTGCTATTGGAAGTAGTAGTGCCAAAAAAGTAATTATCCGTTACTTTGTATTCGTTACTCAAGAAATACCGGAGTAACGAATACAAACTTTTTATTGTATTCGTTACTTTTACTCATTTTACCAATGAGTAGTATTCGTTTTACCTACTCTTTTGAGTACTTGGTAACGATTACTTTCAACAGCTGTTTTCGCGGTTTAATAACAACTACTTTATTCAAAAATTTTGTTCGTTTTCAAATTTATTAAAAATGTGTGAAAATATTAATAATAAAAAAAGTGAAATTTGGATTCATTTTGAACCAGTAGGAAGTGAAAAAGCTAAATGCAGATTATGTGGAACAAACTATTCAATAAAAGGTGGTTCTACTTCAAATTTGAGAAAGCATTTAAACATTAAGCATCCCACGGTCCTAAGCGCCGTTAATCGGAATCGTGAAGTAACGAAACCGCAGTAACGAAAGCGCAGTAACGAATACTGAGTAACTAATACTGAGTAACGAATACTGAGTAACGAATACATACTCGAAAAGTAACGGGTAGGTACGAATACCCAAAAGTAACGAAGTTTGGCACCACTAATTGGAAGTGTTTCTGCAAACAACATTTTTATGGAATTTTATTGGTATTTACTTAACTATTTTTCTTAATTTTTCGTTTTTGTTTTTTTTTTGTAGGGAAATATTTGGCAACAAATACTCTCGTTTCACTTTATTTTAGAGTTAATTACGACAATACCTTTTGCACTAACGGTGAGTTTATATTCTATTCTCATATAATCATTTTTAATCTGAAAGTTGACTGTATAAATAATATATAAAATCTCCTTGCAGATATTATGTTCGCCTTTAAGAAATCTTTTTATACCAATTTTCCTCAACTGCTGGCTGGCGAAGCGGTCGTTGGAGAATATGTTCGTAAGTAAATTTTTACTTTAATATAAGAGTTAAGTAAAATATTTTAAATTTTATAAGTTTGAATCTTAAGGATTTAAATATTTTAGTTAAATCATTATTTTTAAGGAAATGTAATGGTTTTTATAGTACTAGTAGAACAAAAATATTGACGACATATTTTTTTTGTGAATACAAAATCTCAATGCTAAGAACAACTAATTGATATATAACCATATATATAACTCGTCCATCACTTCTATATGGATATTTAGCGTTTAGCAAGGCCACAAACGGTACTATTCACCAGTTAGAAATTGCACAAAGCCAGGCTCTGAGAAGACTTTTCAAAGTACCATAGTACATTAGGACGAATGACATCCTCAGGGACCTCAAGACTGATCCCATCAAAAAATACATGAAGGATAGAGCCCTGAAATTGTTTACCGCGTTATCAAATTTCAGAATGGTTATAGGCTCCTCGGGGAGGTATGCAGATCTGAGGTCAGTTATTGCTTAGTCTGATGAAGTGATAAACAATAATCCAGTCAAAGCGTAAAGACGGGTTTTGAAAATACCTCGAATTAAGAAAGAGTAAAAGTGCTCAAGTGCACTGGCTCAAATAGCGTCAACATAATATACATGTATATATAAGATTTATTAAAGATCAACTTTTATATAATTTTATAGTGTACCTGCAGTAGACATAAAAAATAGTGCGATGGGTAATTTTTTGGCTTTTGTGATACTCTAACATTTATTTACTAATAAGAAACATTTTATGAAAAATCAGATACGTTTCTTTGATATTGCAAGTAGAAGTAAAAAAGTCTATACAAATTTTTTGAACATTTTCAATTATTACATTTTACAAAGAAATTGAAAAACTGACTATGGTTGGACACAAATTTGAAAAAGTTGTGATAAGTCGATTAGGTTCAAAATACATTCAAAAAAATTTTTGGAATCAATTAGTTTTAACTACTTCATCAGGTCAGAGTATAACAAATGGCAACTTTGAAACTTCAGTCACATTTTTTTTTGTAAAAATTAACTACATAAAATAAATCAAAAATAGTCTTTTAATTGAATTCAAAAAGCCTTTGAAAACACCAATCATGGAAATTTATTATTTTCTTTAATTTTTTTTATATTTTATATCAATTTTGCCTAAATCATAATTTTTAGTTAATATAGATATTGAACCTTTTTTATTTTATTTTCCTTTTTTGTGTTTTGTTTTTTTTATTTGATTTTATTTTATTTTCTTTTATTTTATTTAATTTCATTTTATTAATTTGTTTATTTTATTAAATTTTATTTTTTATTCTTTTGTGTCATTATAATAATTTTTTAATTTACCAAATAAAATTATTTTATTTTATTTCATTTCATTATATTATATATAAAACGATTTTTATTTAACTCAGCTAATTTTATTTCTAAATGACTTAAAATGCATTAGTGTGATGTTAGCACATATAATTAAAACCCCCAAGTAGTTAATGTTAAGACCTAGAACACCTTAGTGTGAATAAGTCTTTTGTGACTCCAGCTATATCACTGTTACTGCTGCAAAGCACTTTTGTGGTGGCTGGAAATAATTTTACATGCCCCACAGCATTTTTGAAAATTTAAGATCCGATTTAGACAAAACAAGTCACTGCTGTGTAAGACAAAATTCGAACTAAAAATAGAGCCTTACCAACTTCAAAGAGACAATACCGATATTCTGATATTCACAAATAAAACTACATTTAATACAGCGAAGAAATAGTTACATATAAATGATTTTGAAAGTAAATTTGTCAAATGTCATTTTGCCTGATATATAAAATCGAGCAAATACTAGAAAAACAAAATAATCACATTTACTTATCAGATAAGTCATACAAAAGTTTAGACTTTCGAATTGGTACTATTTTTGTTGTTAAAATTAATGTGAATTAATCTCAAACCGAGGTCTGTAAAAATTTCAGTGAATAAAAGTACAACAACACACAAACAATGGCTGATATCTAATTTTACGAGAAGCAAACCCTCACAAATTCCCGGTTCAAAACTAAATAAGGGATTAGTATTAAAATATACTAAAACTTTAAGTGCTCAAGAAAACTAATCTCTATAAACAAATAAAAAGACTTAGTCTTACTTACTGTGCAGCGTGTGACTCATTCATAGATTGATTTAAAGCTATAGCATGTACTAAAGGTGATCAATCCAAAAATCTGAAATTAACTCAAAATTTTTTTGTGTTTCTGAATATATTTTTGTTATGTTTCAATATATAATCAAATTAAAATAATAAGCCATTGTGTAAAGTTGTAATTTAATAGAGCATAGTGGCGTCTATAAGGAAGAAATTGGAGTTCAACGCCCTCCTCTAACTATATGTTACATACTTTATACTAGATATAATAGATTATTTCCAATTGAACGTTTTCAAATGAACTCTAAATTAATATATAGCAACCTTATTTTATACGTTCCTGGTAGGGCTACCCTGTATACACAATTCATTCATTTTTATTTGATATTAATATATATTAACATATGTAATATATAATATATACTTATTTTCATTATCTAAAATCATTTTTTGTTTAATATTTAGCATTATAAATTTATATAATATATATTAACTATATATTACACATTATAAAATTCTATTTTTTATATCTTCATAGAACGATTTGCACCGCGCCATGCAAAAATCTCAGTCCGCCTTGTCTCAGCAATTAACAATTTTATCAGCAACGTTGCTGTGTTTAGTATTTACAAGGTAAGAAATATTTTGATTATTGAAGATATATATTTTGACATCAAGTGTAATATTTATATTTAAATTAAATATACACGAATATTTGCCAAAAACTCGAATATTCCACACGTTCTCAATGACAACATCATAAACACATGTCTACCTACATTGCTGTTAAGTGCCTGTTAAGTACGCTGTGCTACGGAATATCAGCAGCACTCATTTCGCATTCACATAAACACTCGTATCGTATGTACATTAACATAGATACTCTCATCCTACATCCGCACACACACTTAACAGTTGTTGGTAATGTGCACGATATTGACTAATGCAAAAACTTGATGTCAATTACGCTGTTAATAATCATAAATTGCGGTAATATGATAATGTAGTCATTATTGTTGTTGGTGATTTTGTTGTTGGTTATTGAGCTTATAATGAAGTTGCAACGTGTGTAGTTGATGAATATTTTGAACACGTCCTTATTAAATTATTGCAGTGTTTGTGGCATTCAACACTTTCAACGCGCAGGCCATCGGCATTTGAATCTCTTCCAGAGCACATATTACGTGGTCGTGACATTCTCAACAGTTGGCTACGGTGACTTTGTGCCCGACATATGGCCCTCACAGCTCTACATGGTGATTATGATATGCGTTGCATTGATTGTCCTGCCCACACAGGTGAGTTAATTAGAAAAATTACAAAATCCAATAAAAACCTAATAAAAAAGGGAATATAAAATAAAATCATCGTATTCGAAGTATTTACTAAATGTTCATCGTCGTCAATCTATACACAGTTCTCCCACACTGCATGAATAGATATGCAGTTGGCTAAATGTTTAAGTGGAAATGTAATATGATATGCGGTCAGTGTTACATTTTAGTCATGAATGAATGAACTCAATTTTAAACTTAATGTGAATGCATATGACCGCATTTGAGAATAGTTTTGTCAAAAGAACTTCATTTAATTGAAATAAATAGTTCCAGTGAATGAGATTTAGTGGTCATAAATAAAAGTTTAATTAAGAAACTTAATATATATAATTGGTGTTTTTATAAAAACCTATAATTCATTAATCAAAAATTGGTCGCTATTTGAAACATGTTTCGTTTTTTTAATCATAATTCATACAGTTGCAAATCTAAATATTGAAGTATATATTCACACATTATATAGTATGCGTAAAAAGTAAAGTATGAATTCTAACATTATATTATAAATTAGAATTTTTAGAACTCAGAGTAAAAATCACCGTTTTTAAACATCGATTCACAACGCTTTAGTGATATATTATACCTAAACCACCACGCTAGCATCCATGTTTGAAATACTATATATTCAGCAATATTGGATCTATGATGCTGTATTACTCTGAAAACAACTATAACATATTATTTTCATACTTAAAAACTCTTTATCTCAACACTTGAAACGAACTGCATACATTTTTTTACTGAATTTAATCAAAATGATTTCATTTAATTATTAAATTTATGGTAAATAAAATATTAATTAAACTATATAATAAGAATAAATTTAATATAAAAAGTGTTAATTATAAATAATATGAAAAGCGAACAACCGCAACGATTTTATTTATCTAAGTTGGATAAATCAGACAGAGATTTGAGTATAATCTGTTATCTAGTGTGTTTATATCATGTACTTTTACAATTGTGCCTTTGACTGTACTGAGATCTCACATCAATATATTTTCAAGAATCGTTTGCAAAACTGCAAACAAATATGTTCAGCCAAGCTTCATACTAATCTCGCTTAGTCCTATGTGTCAATTTTCTCATCCCACTGCGCGGAACTTGTTTGAGTCTGTTATGGCCATAAAAGACTATTCAATGAAGGACTTAATAGCCATATCGTGATCAGGTTAAGTAAACCTAATGGAAAAATTAAAACATACGCTATCATAGCAGTACTCCATTCGATAGGATCTATGTTATAAATTAGTCATACATATGTATATCTATTATGATTGATCTATATAATATATGAGTTATGATTTATAAAATAAATTGTGTTTGATTGATTATAATTCCAAATAGGTTTTTGCACATAATATATTTATTATATATAACAAAATAGTAATGTTTTGCTTTTTTTACTCTGACTAAATAAAAGATTAACTTAAACATTTATTTTGTTTAATTAAGGTTCTTATTTACTTAAAAATAAATAAATTCATTAAATTTAATTTGTAAAAAATTAAATTATAAAATAATACCAGTGGCCTGCCATTCTATATAAATTATTTTTAAGTATACGAATAAAAAAGATACAAAAGTCAATCATTTTAATCCATGGATTTTTGTTTTGGTCATTGCAAAACTATTATTTATGTTGGTTTAATTTTTAAAATAATAATGAATAAATATTTTAAAAATTGAAAGAATTTATGATTACACATGTAGTATTTATATATTTCCATATAGAAAATACAAATATTTAGATTAAGTCTGCAATTTATTTTTGAATTACGATTTTTAATAAAAATTTAAAAATACTTAAAAAAGTTTTCATTGTAAAGTATGTGAAAATAAAAACAAAAATTTAACCAAGTTGCAAAATAAATAATAACAATAAATATAAATAAATTTAAAGTTAATATACTACCTAATATATAACACATTGTACATATTATACTACAATGTACTACATGCTATTGCTTATGTTTGTATATTTTATTAAGACTATTTTAAGATATTACAATAGATTAAACTAAGATACTTTCGGTAGTTAAAATAAACTATATTATTCCTATAAAACATATACAAATAGATATAATGGGAAATTTATTTTTATTCGATTAAATGATTTCACGTTTCAATGGCGTATTCAGGGCTGAAAAGCGAGTTAAACCTTAAAAGCATATATCTCCCACTTGATAATATTTAAAAATAACACAAACTTTAGAAATCTGTCATGTTCTTGAGTTTTATATTTAAATACTAATATAAACTAGAAATTTTAATAATGAAATACCGGAAACATTGCAGTACCTTATCAATAATTATCGTCGTTAGATTTAATTTTTAAGTTAGAATTATATTTAAAAGAAACTTCTGAAAAAAATATTACTAAGAATATTACTTTCTGCATATACATATTTACGTATGCATTGATGTACATATAAATAAAACAGCTGCTATTTTTTATAATAAATAATATATATCATATATTGTGGGGCGTTGGAATAGCGCAACCTCCATCAAGTGACCCTACTCAATTGAAATACTAGCCGAAGTAGACCACAAAACGACTTGAGTGCTTTTTCGTCCTTCGAATGTTGTTATTGTGTTAAAGCTACAATGGCTACCGTTCGTATGACTACATCTCTTGTAAGCAGCACATTTAGCTTGAGGTAGCCTACCAAATCATCACCAACTCAATAGTGTCTTAAGACAGTTAGCTCTTCTAATGCTGAACATTGGCACAATATATCCATCGCTATCTCCTTTTCTTTCAGACAGAGTTTTCAACTGTCTTCCTCAATAAGAATTATTAGGTATATGAGTGATACTTCAAGTTTCCATATTCAGTATTCAATGATGTTAGCCATCTTAGTGTGCTCTGCGGATAGCTAAGCACTTTTATCGCTTCACTGGCAAACGGTTATGGTAACATGAGTTTAGTTTGTCTACAAGTGCTCATCTCTCTCCATCTGTTAAGAAGAAGTAAATCTATCCACATAGACTGTAGTCAAGTTATAGCTCAATAGTAAATTATGGTAAATTTGCAAAGTTTATTGCTATTTTAAAACTAACAAAAATAATTAATTAACTTTTTGAAATATGCTTGACATTTTAATGCTTTTAAATTAGAAGTTGGTACATAAATAAGTTTTAATTTTTAATTAGCATACCTTAATGATTTTATTTACTTAAATTCATTTTATTATTGTTTCAAAAACTTCTTTCTGATATAATCATTAATTAAGTTTTAGAAATATGAATTAAATTTCTGAACTCATTCGCGATATTCTAAGCAATTTATAAATAGTAAATATGCAAAATGCAGTAGATTCACAGAAGTAAATTTAGTTCACTTCTCACTCTCCATGTGATTGACATTGACTTTTATTGCAAAAATACTAAAAACAAAACAATAAAAAAATTTTTTAAACAAAAAGAATGGTTGTTTAGTATCAATCAATTTTTACGAGTTTAGTTCAAATGTCACTTCCGAAGTCAAAAAGTTGATCTCAACTACGATAGTCGACAAAAATTTGTTTAAATCCATTTGAATAAGTGTTTTTAGAAAAGAGTGCATGGTACATGTAGCAACCCAAGTATCAGTAAATAAATCATCATTTCTGGAACACATACAATAGAAATTGATTTACTTTCATGTTCGATACTAAAAATAAATATTTCTATTTGTAACTGGATTAAATTTATTGCAGTTTGAACAATTAGCGTTCACATGGATGGAACGTCAAAAGCTGGGAGGAAGTTACTCATCGCATCGAGCGCAAAGCGAAAAACATGTGGTCGTTTGCTCAACAACGCTCCACGCTGACACTATTATGGACTTCCTTAATGAATTTTACGCACATCCGCTGCTGCAAGATTACTATGTAGTCCTACTAAGTCCGATGGAATTAGATACGACGATGCGTATGATATTGCAGGTGCCGATTTGGGCGCAACGTGTCATATACATTCAGGTAATAGGAAGATAAAAGGATGGGAAGACTAAGACTAACTTTAAATAAAAAAATAAGTAAAAATCAAATGAATATATCAATCGAATTTTATTCGAATTTCAAAAAAAAAAAAAAAATTATTAACAACAGAGCGATTTTAGCATTACAAATTAGTTACATTAACAATTTTTTATGAGTACACATAATTTTTTCATTTTACACACGAAATTTATAATTCCGCAGCATTAACTTATAAAAATGTAAAATTGGTTTCCATTAAGTTTAAAATGTGCCTATTTATTTGAATTTGAATAGGGATCGTGCCTAAAGGACGGCGATTTGGCACGTGCACGCATGAATGAGGCGGAAGCCTGCTTCATTTTGGCAGCGAGGAATTATGCGGATAAGACTGCAGCCGACGAACACACAATTTTGCGCTCGTGGGCGGTTAAGGACTTTGCCCCAAATGTACCGCAGTATGTACAAATATTTCGGTGAGTTTGCATTGTTCAATAAATCATTCGATTTGTTTACAAATTTATAAATTGCAAATACTTTTCAATATTTTACAAAGCAATATCTTCTAAAAAGGAAATAAAATTTTTTATTTTAATAATAGAATATATGGAAAATTAATTTAGAAATATATATAAACCTTATTTATTTTAATATAACAAAAATTTTAAAAATATATACATAAAATAATTTAAATTATAATTGTTTAAACTCTAGAACCCAATTTAATTTCATATTATTCTACTTTATATACAAACCAACTCTAGACTCTAAAACCTAACTGAATATCATGTTATTCTAGTCTTTATGCATACCAAGGCACCTCTGACCGAAAATACGTCACAAAGTAATAGAGTTTTCGTTTAGTATATATATTCCATTAGGACTATAAGCTGGGCTTCAAAGCATACTTCTATAATATCATCAGAATTACTTATCATAATTTAACGAATCTCTTATTACAGTGAATCATCTAAATGGTCACAGACAGTATTGAGTAAAGTGCTTGAGACACTAACTAGCGTTTGATTACGCAAAGAAAAAGAAGATCTAAATACCATTTAGATTAACTCTTGACCTGTTAAATTTTGTTGTCCAACCGAACGTTTTTAAAGTAACTCAAATATTTATATTTTTCATAAATATATGATTATATATCGAATGAAATCAAACTTTATCTGTCAAGTGATATAAAAACGGTGTTAATATTAGGGTAATCTTGCTACTCTGGTAAAATATCAATAGTGTTGTAAATTATACAACGATACGAATATGATGTAATTAATATAATATATAATGTGCAGTGAAAGAAGAGTCCAGCTCTTCATAGAATATTAATATAACATATAAATAATTATCGATTAGTTTTGAAGATTAAATATATTTCACATTATGAAACCAGGAATTCGACAAGAATAGAATTCATACTCTATGTTTTAGGAAAAATTATTAGAAACGGTATTTACCAAAAAGACGAAAAAATCTGTAAATAATTTTAAGGTAAAAAGTATAATAGCTGATCACGAGCCTTTAACGCTTTAGAAATTGTTTAATACTATATAGAAAATTGAAAATCCCCTTTTGTTTTAACATCTATGTACTACGCCGGTCTAAATATTGCAATTAAAGTAAAAATGAAAGCTTTTCTGCGCTAGTAATTTAAAAATTTTGAAATAATATTTAATTACATATTTAAACTTAAATTTAAATTTAAATCAAAATTCTGTCTATTCCCTTGTTCTTAATACTCAAATTGATACAATTTTCTACCAGAGGTGGTACTATTAAAAATAATAATCCTCTAAGAGGATTATCGACATAAACTTTCCTCCTACGCAATTGTACTTACAAAAATTAATTAATTAATTAATTTTTTCAACACACTTCTAACTTTAATTAAAAAATAAATCGTCGCCTATATTAATACCAATATTTTCAATTTAATTTAAAATTAAAATGTTTTGTGAAGTATATTCTTGGAAGTGCATAAATAGTAATAACCATAATTAAATTAATTATTGAAAATAATAACAATTTACATATTTTCTGCAATCCTGTTGAAAAATCTAATAATCAATAGCACTTATCAAGTTTATTAGTGAAGCAACTAATTAAGTAAACATTTTATATTTAAATTTTATATTAAAAAACTCATATTTGCTTGCACTTTGAATATTTTTTTATCTGAAGTAAAAGCATTTTTTCACGCTTTTCGCATTTGTTAATTTCACGCTTAACTCTAATGAAATCAACCGTGGATGACCAATCTTCTGACACTGACTGCCATGCACGGAACACAGGCCGGAACACAAACTGCATGTAAAGTTCGCCGAACATGTGGTCTGCGAGGATGAGTTCAAGTATGCGCTTCTCGCAAACAACTGCACTTGCCCGGGTGCGAGTACCCTGGTTACATTATTGCTGCACACGTCACGGGGGCAGTAAGTATTATTCAATTAACTTTTATTTACACATGTACGTTAGCCCGCATGTAAGTAAATGTGAGACCCATTTACTTGCGTGGGTTGCGGGTAAGCACAACACAACCTATAAGGATTGCTAAACATTTTTTCATGTGACTTCCTTCCTTTGAAAAATTAAAATTGTTGCTATTTGCTTTTCATTTCATGAAGAATAGTAAAATTACCTTGTAAAGCGTGCACTCCACGATCCCTCTGAAAAATAGATTATTTACATTATATCTTGTGACATTTTATTTGTTAAAAAAGCATTTACCTCCACAGTACTTCCCCGAGGGAAAAATGTATTACACAGAAAACTCTCTGTTTACTACCTTTTTAATTTGGTAAAATGAACTATTTTTTCTACGTCTTCTGACTTCTGAGTTCTGACTTAAATTCCGACATTGCGTAACGCCTATTATTTACCTTAGGCGAATTTGGCTTTGCAACTGTTGCTTCTGTTTTTTATGCGTTCATGTTTCAAGTAATTGACCATGAACTGCAAAGGACCCAGAAAAAACAGCTTAACACCCTCATTAAAGACATGACATAACAAAAATAATGTTTGGGTTTTGTACTATAATAGAAATTTAACATGAAATTGCAGTAATTAACAATTTGAGTTACTTTTTTTGTGAATCAAATTTCACTTACCAATTTCATTAGAACCACTCCATTGGGATTTTGACGGACGTATGACACACATTTTATTTCAGCCTAACAGTATCTTTTCTTATTTGGGACAACGTTAAATACCGTCATGGGCTGTTCAGTGAATTAAGCTTATAAGAAATTGAATATTAAATTAAATAAATATTTTAATGCACAACAGGGAAGGCCAACAATCACCGGAAGAGTGGCATCGACTGTATGGGAAATGTTCCGGCAACGAAATCTATCACATCGTTTTAGGTGATAGCCGTTTTTTTGGTGAATATGAGGGAAAGAGTTTCACCTATGCGAGTTTTCATTCTCATCGGAAGTAAGTATAACTTTTTAATATAAACATTAATACAAATATACACATATGACATTAAATACTTAGAATTGATTAATACATAATTTTTGTAGAAAAATATAAACAACAATTAAAGATACAATTGTATAAATAATTTTCCCGGGGTTTTTTTTTTGTATTGAGTGATAGAGATTTAAATTTTTAATTTCAATTTCAAGCACTTATTAATTTACTTTAAATAAAAAATTAATGCACCTTATGTTTAAGAGTAAATAAATAATTATGTGTTGAAATTATAAGAAAAGTTGGTAACCCCATAATCAGAAATTTATTTCCAGTGAAGGTTACAGATTAAAAACTCAAAAATTTTCAAAATTATCACTGAGATATTTTTTTCTATAAAAAATCCATCACTTCATCTGAATCTATTGCAGTATCCCATGGAAACATACCTTTAATAAGCGCAGTGAGCCTATAATAGCCAATTACATTATATGGTAGAGTTTTTATTTTTTTTCACAGAATACAGAATATGATTTGTCAACGTTGGTTATTGTGATAATTAAAAAAGTTATATTACTGTGCGTTAATATTTTTAATACCTTAGTAAAGGAATCAATCTTTCCAACCATCATTAGTTCAGACAAAGACATTTAATTATCGAGGTAGACTTTATCAGTTCAATTAAGAGTAGGTCTTAGCTCTTCCACAAAAAAAGTATTTTAAGAGGTCCGGATGATGCAAACCGCATACTAGGTGGATTGATAATGACCTAACTTCAAGCTTTGAACTTTAAACGACAGCTGTAAAAGTTTCCATTTCATCAGATGTTTGGTTAACTATTTGCAAATAATTGAAATAGTGTACCTTTGTGACTTTTTATAAAATGGAAAAAATTGTTCAGTAATAAAATTACTCCATTTGAAAGGAATGAGCAATAATGCAATCAATTTGGAAATGTATTCTGTTTACGGCAAACTTGCATCATCGTTAACAACAATAAAATATTGGAAAACTGAATTTAAACGTAGTCTTACGAGTGATTGCTCTTTGATGAAGAGTGTCTAGGTCGTCCAAAACAGGTCAGAACAACAGAGAATGAAAAGAATATTGAAAAAATTGTGTTATTCACGATATCATGTTGGATGATCCACAAATTAAATGCGTGAAATAGTGGATATGACAACCATATCATATGAACATATATCAAATATTTTACAGGATATCCATCTTCCGACAAGATGGGTGCCTCGTTTGCTCACAATTGACCAAAAACGATAACGACTTCGTCATTCAAAACATTGTTTGGAAATGTTTATGCACAATCTAGCAAACTGTAAGCATCGGGTAATGATTATTGATAAAATATGGACTCATTACTTCACACCTGATGGAAAACAACAGGCCAGTCAGGGTAGAGTCCGGGGGTGGTGCTCCCAAACGACCACGAACTCAATAATCGGCTGGAATAGTTTAGCTTCCGTGTTTTGAGATTTAAGTGAAATAATTTTCATAAACTGTTTGGAGAAAGGAAAAGCAATAACATCAGACTACTATTGCATATTATTCGATTATTGATCGATTATTGAGAAAATCAGGAAAAAACGATCACATTTGTAAAAGAAAAAAATGATGTTTTTGCAGGATAACTCAACCGATCACACGTCAATCCATTTATTGAAACCAAATTAAATGAATTACAATACGAAGTGCTACCTCATACACTGTATTCTCCAGATCTAGCTACCAGTGACTATGTTTTTATATTTAAAAAGATGACTCTAAGAAAAGAGATTTGTCAAGAACAAATGCTGAATGGGAATGGGAAACTGAGATATATTTTAGAGGACTTGATAAATCGTATTCCTTAAAAAGTATCCAAATGTTGACAGATCGTTGAACTCTGAGTGTCGAAATAAAGCGTTAAAGCATAAAATATAATTTTCCAAAAAAAATGCGTTATTATTACTTAGACCGGGTATTCATCAATCCACCTAGTATATGAGTAAAGAAACATTTAAAACGTTTCAGTAATTACTACATTATATTACTTATATAATAATGTAGTAAACTAAATGTCAGTTATGATTACATACTTCTTGTTTATAATGGAAAACGGTCATTTAGGTTATCTGTACTTCTTATAAATTACTATAAACTAATATTATTAGTCCTTGCCACTGTAGGTATGTATCTTTACATTATTAAGAGTTTAATTTATTTGCGTGCAGTTTACTATGAATATTAAATTAGTTTCAGTAAATATTAGCTACAGACTTTTATTAATTAAGTATAAAATAATATGTAATTACTAATTTACATAATAAAACTAATACTAAAAACAGTAAACTTATATGTATTTTTGTAATTATTTTTTTTTATCTAAATCAAAGAAAACGCTGAGTAGTTTATTTAGTGTACTTGTTTAGTGAACTATATTTTTATTATTAAATTCTGTATTAATTTTTTTAACAAAAACTAAAAACATTTAAATTTTTTAAAGTGAAATAAAAATTCTATTATATTACATAAATTTGTTATACAACATTTTTATATAATAATTGATAAATAAAAAACCGAAGAAAATTGAATTTAATTTCATTTCATTCATTACTTGTTTAATGAACTACATTTTAAATATTTAAATTATATATTAATTTCTTTTTAACTAAAAATTAAAACATTTAAAATTTTTAACATGAAATAAAAATTCTTTTATACTTCATAAATTTTTTATACATTTTTATACAATAAATGATAAATAAAAATTAGAAGAAAATTTAAATTTAATTTCATTTTCTTCAACTTTTGACTCATTTCGGTCATTTTTAGATATGGCGTCGCATTGGTTGGTGTACGTCCGGCTGAGCTTCCGGAATTTTATGAGGATACAATACTGCTTAATCCCGGACCGCGACACATTATGAAGAAGGATGACACATGTTACTACATGAGCATAACAAAGGAAGAAAATTCAGCATTCGTCGTTAATCAAAATCAAAATCAAAATGCGGACCCGGCAACGGGCAAAGATGGTGGTATGTTAAACAAATTCAGTCTATATCTTTAAAGTCTTATTGAAATGTTTTATGTTTGGAACATGAAATTTATATGCAAATTATCAAAAGAACAACAATTTTAATTTAATCTTACAGATACGCTTTTATTGTGTGTGCGTTTTTATGTTCGTTCGATGAAGTTGCTTTAATTTTTTAATTGAAATTTCTTTTCGAAATATTATAAGATCTGTTCTCTTTGGTTCTGTTCCGTTTTGCCTCTATTTCTACTCTATTTCTAAATTTTCCATTAATTACTGCTTTTGTTAAACTTTTAAGAGTTCTTTTACGTTTTTAAAAAGTTCTTTTTTAATCGACTTACACCTGCAAGTATTGTATTTAAAACGAGTGAACTACTTAAGTTTGTTCATCTTAAAAAAGATCAATGAACTCAAGTTAATGTTAATTTTGAATTTCAATTTATTTTAATTTTATTCCTAAAATTAATTAATTTTATTTGGTCTTATATATATAAAATAATTTTATATTTTAATTAAATTATTTTTTGTTTATTTGTGTTGAGATCACTAAATTTAATTTTCAGGCACTTCATAAGTGTACATTGGTTCCTTTGTTATGATTTTATATTATCAAATATATGCAAATTTTACTTAATGGAAAGAAATATAATTCCAATACAACACTTAAAATTATGCATTTGTAAAATGTATACACTCTTGTGATGGGATGCAACACTCTACATATTAACACCCTGTATTGCAGTGTCCTTCTATGTGTACCTATTTTCACAAAAGTATATATCTAAACATTATGATTCAGAAAACAATTTACTCTTACATATTAAACCATATTCAATACTTGAGAAAAGGAAACTGATATGTTTAAGCTTCGGAAGCTGTTTCATATGTAGCACAAAAATTAAGACTTTCCCAGTAAAACATTACTAGATCCATCTACAGTAGAGCAGAGTAGAGTGGAGTGTTTAATTCAAATATATTAAAATATAAATAAAGCACTTATAAAGACTTTAGCAAAAAAAGAAGAAAAAAGCATTTCACAATTTTTATAGGTATTTAAAACTATTTAACTTTAATAGGTCCATATAGGTCCTTAAGTAGTGTGGTGCTTATAAAAATTATACACAAAATGTATATACTATGGACGTATGCGAGTTAGGCTAAGTTGCGTTCTAAATAAGGAAAATTCTAAGTTGAGCCGATAATATAGTGATGTGTCGATACGTGTTGATAAATGGCTAAATGTGTGCAGTGCAAAAAATCCCAAAAAATCTCCCATTTGATTTAGCATCAATTTAGCCTAACTCACAAACGTCCTATGTACCATATATAATTTTTAAAATGTTAACGTATAAATTATATATTTATCCACGAATATCACAATAACAAATATTACAATGACGATATTTCTTTGAATTCTCATATGTTTTTCAACACAGCGATCAAAATCATAGAAATGTTTCTAATTTTTACTCTGATATTAACTACAGCCGCTTGCTACAGTAGGTCGCTAACTGTTGTTAACATTTTTTTATTTGTAGTGCTGCCAGCGTGTCATCTTACGGACTATTCCGCCGATATTTTAAATATATGGAATATATTACCTAGCGACTGTAGCTTAATCATAGAGATTATAGTACTATAGAAATCCATTTGCTTAGCTTTATTTTTGGTATTTCTAGCTACTGTAGATTGATCGTGTATTGGACATTAATTCCAAGTATCAGTACAATCAGTTTATAACAGTGTTTATAGTACAGTTTCTGGAAAAAGAGATATTTATATAAGGATATTAATATAAATAATTTGTGTTAATAATAAATATTCTTGCAAATAATAAGCGTAAGATAAATGTATGAAATCATATATGTCATTTTCGTTTTAACCGAAATAAATTATTAAAACTAAATTATATACCCATATATATAACTTTAATTCAATATAAAGTCGATGAAGAGGTAATCTCGTGCATTATTCGTAATTTTCAAACTTGAAAGAGATAAAGATTAACTTAAAAAATTTGTTTTTTAAGATTTCAAATGAGTCAAAAGCTTCAACTTTAATTTGATATTTCATTTATAAGAAATATAAGACTAATAGAATCAAATAGAACAGATACTTTTTATTCGTGTCCTTATTTTATATTTAATTAATAATAATTTGCTGCTAAAAGTATAAATGGTGGTATTTATTTGTAAGCAGCAAAGTTTTAACTCATCACCTTGACCAAAGTTAAATCATATTTTACATCTTTGTTTAATTACTTAATTTACTTAATTAATTAGTTTACTTTACATAGCATCGCATAACCAAAAAGAAAATTTAATGTGAGGAGAACTCACCAACTACAATTTACAATATACAGGTTTTCATATTCATCAAAAGCAAAAACAATTTGATAATTGAAGTGACCATGACTATCTGCATAACTTAACCCTCACAGACTCTAACTAAAAAGAAGACATTTAGCCCTACGTATGAGAACGAAAATATGATCCGTTAAGATTTATTCTAAAATCAGGCGATGAAAAGAAGTTTTGAGTTACTATTCTCATTTAGATATAGATACAAGTTAGACAGTAAGTATAACAAAGATTATGATTAGAGATATTAGCTGCTGATAAGCACAGCTGATATTATCTTTCCTTTAGTGACCTATTCGTTCATTCTCAACTCTGTTATAAAAAATAGAAATGCCTGAACTTAGTTATAGGACAGAATCTGCTTTTTGGTTTGACAGTTATCTGAAGTGTCGTAATGATAGCAATTTGTTTCAACTAAAATGTATTTTTTTTTCAAAAACCAAAACGAAGATAAAAACTCTCTCATCCACAAACATAAAAGGTGTATGGAGTCATAAAAATATATAACTTGTTTTAATTGAATAATTAATTAATTATTAAAAAATTCTGATAGGGAGCAGGGGATCATTTTTTGTTCTTAAAAATTTTAAGAAACAAATTTAAAATAAAAAAAATTTGATTTATATTTGTAATTTATTTTAAATAATTAGCTTATAATAAAGATACGTGGATTAGAATAGAGTAGACGTCTATATTAGTCATCGCCGTAAGTTCTTAACTTATATATGATAGGATATTGTAAAATGAATTTATATAAATTTCTAAATAAAGAACTTACAAACTAAAAAAGAAAAAAGAAATCAATTATTCAATATTTCTAGATACCAGTTAATACTATTCAAACATAATTAATGTTAATTTTTTCTTGCCGATATTGACACGTCTTTATGATAATTAATTTTTTAAAACTTCTTGACACCCTTATAATTATTTAAAAAAAATATATATTATAAACATATTATCGTTAATTGAAAATTACGATTACACTAATAAACATTTAACAAGTGATATTTCTACTACTCACACAAGATCCTCTTTTAGAATCCTCTTCTACAATTTGCATACCATATGTACGAATATAAATCTTTTTTATATAATAAATTTTCTTTTTCAATTTCATATATTGAATGTTTATAAAATTTTAAATTGAATTAAGTTAAAACAACATTAATAAACAACAACAACACTACAACCACTCTGTCCACTATGAATACCAATGTAGCAACAACAATATCAACAATAACAACAACAACAGCACATGCGGCCCCAGTGCCGTCCGTTTGTGTACGTGTGCCACATAGTCCGAGTTTTGACTCTGGTGCGGATACACCTATTGAAAGGCGTTTATCCGATAGTGAATTTACAACACTTTTTGTGCGTGAGTGTGACACAAGATCTTTATAATTTTGTTTAAATATTTTTCTCTCGCTCTTCCACACCTTGATCACCTATCTCTCTCTTTCTTTTTCTCTTTGTTATCTTATAAGACCCGCACTACACCATCCCAAAAAAAAAAATTTCATTGCTCAACTATAATTTTACTTATTGTGCTTCCCTCCACAACCTTTTTTTATACTTATTTTTGCCTAGAATTTGCTATGTTCAGTGTATGTTCAGTGCATTTAACGAACGTCCTTTTTACAGTGTAAATAATTAATTCTAACATATTTTAGTATCCGTTGCATGTTGCAAGCCTTTGCTTGTTTTTGTTTTTGTTTTTTGCGTTATATGTTATTGTAAATGTAAAACATGAATTTTGTTGTTGTAATAATGAACTACAAAGAATGTCACTTAGTTGTTTTATTGAAAGTAATTAATTTTTTTAAAAAGAAAATATTGTGCATGTCACCTTTAATGGGAACTGAAGTTAAATTGATTAGTGCATGTAAGCCATTCACATTGAGCAAGCAATGCCGAGTGTAGCGTAAAGTAGAAGTAGTAGAATTGCTTTTGTGGAAATTTCACAGAAGTTGATGGCTGGGCTGCACTGTTAATTAACTGTGTACTTTGCCAGTCATGTCCTGATTAAAATGTCAATATTGAAATGTGTTTTTACTGCTGATGGCTTTCTGTGGTGAAATTGGTTGACTGTGAAACAAAAAGTTGGCCATTGGCGACATCTGCAACTCAAATTTGTCACTCATTAACTGCTTTAAATAAGAAAATTTATGCTGTCAAATATACGAAATTCGCATAATTAAAATACAAAAATCAAAAAGAAAAAATAATAAAAACTTAAATTGAAATTGGTATTATGGCAGAAATGCATTTAAGTTTGTTTTTCATAAAAACCCAAGTGCAAACATAAACTGCAGTTTGACAGGATTCTTTCACATATATATATATATATATATATTTCATATATCATATACTTCATATATCGTATGTATGTATTTTATGTATATATTGAAAATTGGTTGTAATAAAGTTTATTGAAAT